GCCTAGTTGTTGTAGGTTTTGTGCTTGACAAATTAACCGCTAGGTTTATTCCGCATTTGTTCAAGCCTCTACCGTAATTATTTTAAAACGCCTATTCACCCCCTCCCCCCCTCTAGGCGGCATCCACGATCTTTCAGCGCTATCGGGCATCGTCGGGGTATGCCCTAACCAGTGCACACGTAGGAGGGTAGTAGTTGCTCGTCCTTTGAGATCTTATTTGCTTCTTCATTAACCTGAGCCCAGGTCAGTTTCCGGTTCTCCCGTGCGCCGTGTAACGCCAATCGTAGTGGGGCCACTCTTGTAATGGTCCGTGAATGACTTTAACGCATGGGCGAGTAACTGCCAATTCACTCTTCCCACCACGCCCTTATCCTTAGCCATGTATGTTGCATGAATTGAGTGGGGCAGGTAACATAGGCGCGTGGTGCGGGAGAGCATGAAGGCAGGGGCCCGGCCTTCTCGAATTGGTGGAGGAGGACGGCGGTCATCCACCGGGGAATCAGTCCCCGGCTCCAGCCCGCCTATAAAAGGAGGAGTGGGAGTACCCATCCATACACCTCTCCTTCACCCTCTGCTTTCTTCTAGTTATGCTGAAGGGGAGAGTCCGGGCCTCCCTAGTTTCGGGTTGGTGACACCAAATGCTCGTGATGATGCTTGGGGAGTGAATGGAGGGTTTGGTCATGCCTTCGCTGGGGCAGGATCCCTCTCTCATCTTCATGCGAGCCTCGGGAGGGCGCACGGGCGGCGCGGGTGGTATCACCGGAGGTAGCGACTCCGGTGGGCTCATCGCCGATCCGCCCGTGTCTTCAATTCTAGTGAGGGGCAACGCAAACGATACCACGTCGAGGCCCGTAATAGATGCAAGGCGTGGTAGTCGATCGTGGCCTATTCCCCCTCTTCCTGCGGCGTCGGAGGGAGGTCGTAGAAGTGGTTCTCCATTGGCAAAGATAGACTATCAACCATGAACAAGGCCACAAAAGGAAATGGTAGTCACTACCCTATAAGACAACCGCCACACGCCCTTTCTCCATGAATAATAAGACACTAGCCAAATTTTGGCAGTGGGGCCTACCACCAGCTTGACGAGGTCGAAGGTAGGAGCTGTGAGGACAAAATTATGCGACATGTCCCCTAGACGGACATTAGCCCCTTCCACCGCCTAAGAAGTGTTGCTGGTTACGGGGCAATCAGATCAAGGGTGAAAGTGGCGGTGACAAAGAATTTAGTTAGGTGCATCATATGAGATATACCTTTCACGCAATAAATAACATGACAGGTTACTGATTAAACTAAAGTCCAAGAGTCTCGACTGGTTGAGTTTCATATCTCTATATATGTATTTGTTCATGGACCAATGGCTCATCTACAAGTTACTATCTTTTCACTATGTGAACCAACACAATATGGAATCATAGAATGTTGATGTAAGGACATGTATAGAGAACTGGATTTTTTTTCTGATAAAATATACAGAACCGGATGGGTGATCGAGAGAGCGGTGGTGATAAATGTTAAGTGGCAGCGGACCATAAGAATCACTCACTAGGAATAGGATGCACATAGATTTCGAGTTCAAGACCAACTGCAAGTGTACACACAAGAACTCTTATCTTCGCTGCTCTTGGATACATGTGTGGATTGTGTGTTGGTTGGTGTCGTGAGGCAATATGCCACACTACCTTCTTAGTAGGAGACCCTGACTTACTACCTTTGTGCTTGAAAAGAATGAGTATAATTTTTTGTATGTAGTCAAACAAAGTAAGGTTTGACCAAGTTTATGGAAAAGCTATCAACAACGACAATACTAGGTAGATATAGTATGAAAATATATTGTATAGTGTATTTGATGATACTAAATTGGTATGGTAGTTGTTCATAGTTTTTGATAAACTTAGTGAAACTTTGCATTGTTTGACTTGACACAAAAATTATGCGCCTTCTTTTCAAGCGCACATAAATTATTGTATCCGTGAAATGGGTATGTAGCAATTGTATCTCAACATTCAGACATAGCTGCACATAGTTGCAAAAGATGTCGTAAATGTAATCCACTATCTATTAATTTGGTTGTTTATTACTCTTAAATTAAATGCCATGCTCCATTTGTTAATTGTCCTTGTCCTTCTTTCCTCAGCAAATAGAATAAACCTTGTGTGTTAACCAAAAATTCATCTAGGTTCAGACGTCATTGCACTCCAACCGTACAAAGGAATGTCATGTAATTTGTAAATTAAAATAATTAAGAAGAAGCATGTTTTACTTTACAACCTTCCCATTTTGGAGAAAAAAATCATCTACTATACCATCAATAATAAGCGGTGTCTTATGCTTTTCAAAGAAGAAAATCACATCTCATGTCTTACGCTTGCCCTCCTTGAGCGGTTTTCTTACTACTTCCTTCTTCCTAGTCTAGAAGGTGTCCACAGAATTTTAAGGTTCACATTTTATCATTGGTTAGGCCAATAAATATGAGTTTTACCATAGAAATTGTATAGAGGAAACTTCTTCTAATATGAATTCAATGGCATAATTTTTGGGTCACAAAACCCATGTTTTAGTAAAAACATTGCACTTATCAACTCAACTAACTAATTCCCTATGCAAACCAACGACTGTATATTGGATGTTTTTATTGTGTATGGGCATGTATATAATATTGCATCCCGAGATTACATTTTTAATATGGATCATCTTGAGGAATCAAAAGGGATGGGATGTTCATTCTATGTTAAACCTTGATTTTTATGCATAAGCCTAAAAAGACATGTGAAGATTAATAGAGGGGATATTAACCTGAGTGCCTAGCAACAAAGCAGGAATATTGTTTTGGTTCTCATCTAATCATCTTAGCATCTCGTTTCGCAGGCCCTGTAGATCTAGTCACTACATAATCATTGCAGAGCGAAGCCATGAAAACTGATATTAGCCAATCATCTGGAATCAAATCAAATGGTCGTTCAGCACTGATGGTGATCACCATCAATAATCAATTAAAAATTCAATAATCTTTTTTATTCGACCATTTTTACGGTACCCTGTACTGCTATGGGTGAGGAGAGCCATATATAACAGATCACCCCCGTCGATTTCTCAAGGTTAAAACAGGCATTTCCAGATTTTAATTACTATCATGAAAGTTTTCTTCGCCTTGTCATGGCCTTAAGGGGCTGGGGAATCAACTTAGTTGCGACCTCGGCGCCTTGCTGTGAACGCCGCCATGCCCTGGCCATCCTTGCTGCTGCGACATTGCGTGCCCGCGTCTCTGTGTCCTGGCACGCTCTCCCCATTACGATTTGCCGCCACCGCATTTAACCTAGGTGGCATGGCTTCCTTTGGCCTTGGCGTCACGTCTACAATCACGACCTACAAAGGGGAGGTGCTAGGGCGACCGTCGGAATCCTAGCCGATGGGTTTGCGGGCGTGCAGGAAACGAAAGAGAACGAACGGGCTGGGTGGGTGGGTCCGAGCAATGGGATTGGCGGGCTAAATTCCCTTTCTCTAAAACGCCCTCACAACACGTATACTCACAGTTGCGCGTTGTGCGGCCAGAATCAACCAACACGTTCCCGTTGTTGGTTGAGTTTGTGGTGGCTTCTTTGTCATCGTTTGTAGCAGTATTCACTTTAGGGTTAATCATATATAGATATGCAGTGCAGCAAACATTGGCAACTGCACCATTCATTGTAGAATTAAATGGCCACAACAGTTCGTGGTGGGTTGAGTTCGTGGTGGCTTGTTTGTCACGGTTTGTAGCAGAATTCTCTTTAGGGTTGATCATATATAGATTTGCAATGAGTGCAAAAAATGTAGGAAATCACATCATTCATGGTAGAATTAAATGGCCACAACAGTTGGCATGTGGTGTTTGGTGAAAAAATGATGTCCTTGCCTCCACCCTTGTCTTCTATGCATATCTAGCTACCCCATGTAGCAAGATCACGTCTAGTAGCTAGGGGAGAATGCCAGAGTGTAGGAAAGCAATATTGACTAGCACGGTGGATGCGCCAATGGTCACATAGCGTGTTCTGGCAGGGAGTGGGATGTATCAAAAATTTAGAGTTGGAGACGAGTAAACAAAAGAATGCTTTGAACACTGGTGTAACCAGCAAATACAGATCACATGGCGGCTCTACGTTGCCAGTTCGGCACAGTTTACTCTCCAGTGTTCAGCCGTTGATTTCATCACTCAGGTATCGAGCTGCTCAAGCTAAGCTTGGCCAGGTCTCCAACACACTAAGTTTGGGAAAGCGTGCGTTCTGCATCGGTGTCACTCGGTTAAAAGGAATCATGACTCGAGCGCGAGAAGACACGATTATTTGCATCTATTGATCGTCTCACCTATTAACTTACAAGACACCCTCAATATTACAGTACAAGCACCTAGTGGGCGCAGCTAGTCAGCAGGAGAGTAAAGCTCACAGTTCGTTTGTTTGGATAAAAAGGGTTTTCTCCGTACCGGAACTCAAATCATATGATTAAGACCACAAAAGGCACTGGATGCAACAGCTTAGTTCGACCATACTAGATATATCATTACTAATAAGAATGACAAAAGATCCAACTGTCTGAAATTAACAGGTAGCCACTGAACAATCAAAGGGGAAAGGAAATCAGAAATGCTCTTTGTAATCGAGCATGCGAGTCGCCTTACCTGACAATCATAGCAGGCTGCATCAACACTGCGACCAAAATGAACAAGTAAATTTACTCCCTCACAAACATATGCAAATATATTCCACCAAGAATATTAGTCGGTCCTCGCTATCAACCACATCTAAAACCATGTCAACGAATGGAAACAACACCACCTTAAAAGTATCCACACGAGAAGGCTCCTTATATTTGTATTAACAGAAGAGCAAAAAGATATAGCTGTATGTTTTCAGCGATCCAAATCCGCATGGTGCAGCGATGCGCAAGACTACCATTTCCAATCGGCACACATCCTGTCTCCTTCCACTCACTACCCTGGCTACAACTCTGGCTGCTGGTTTTCTTCATCAGAACGCAGAGCTCAGGGCACCACGTGCTGCCTGTTGTTTCAACTCCTGGGATTTTCCACTTCCACGGAAGTACATGTACACTTGCTGCATGTTGAGTAAGAGAGTTTGATTATCACAAGCGATAGGAACAACATCGGCTGCAATATAAGGATCTATTGGCCATGCTGATCAGTCTAATGAAAATTGAGCATTTCATCCAAATTGTTCCAATGCATTGTGTGTAAGGAGCATGGGGCTAACACTGCATAATCATAAACTTATGAAAGAAAAATGAGAACTAAAACATTCAATTGGCTTTTGGTTGTTAACTAGTCAAGCGGTCAACCCGGGATCATAGTTGGAATAGAGAAAACAGCACACATATACTATGCCATGCAGACTAAGATCTTCAAATAACAAGAATTTAATCATCCAGAAAAAAAAAAGGGAGACCACACCCACCTGAATGACACCTATGCTCAGCAGTGATTCAAGGCAGAACAATCCAAATCCAACAAAGTAAAATATCTGCCAAATGAAAATTCCACAAAAATATATATGTCAGTAAGGGGTTAAATAAGACTGGCAGACCCAGTAACCACTTCCAGATGCAATCTACTCCCTCCGTCCCATAATATAAGAACGTTTTTCAAGCTATGTTAACTTGAAAAACGTTCTTATATTATGGGACGGAGGGAGTACCAAGTAAACCCCTGATACTCATATGTGTGTCAGGTATAGAGCACGATGTCTGTTTCAAAATGCGAGGATTTTCTTGTCTAGCCAGTGGACTCTGCCGGGCCTCACACTGAGGCAGCATGACACAGCACAATCTTTGGGGAAAACATAGAACATGGGCTGGGTAAGAGGAATATATGGGCATATTGCTACATAAACAAATTAAGCAGCACAATCATTGGTTTAAAATGGAGCATGGGCTGGGTAAGACGTAGATATAGGCAAATGGCTACATAAACAAATTAGCCAGGCTAATTGGATAAACCTGTAATGAAGACTTACCCCAACAATAAGGCTCTTGGTTATGACATCAATGGCAGGCAAAATCCCACTATAGCATCAGAAAGCAAAGTAATTTAGTTAATAAGATCAAAATAAAAGTTCTAATGCATTCTGTAAATGTTATGGTAGAAAGGTCTAAATCTGAATATGATAACATGGAGGGTAAGAATTTATTAAGCACAACTTTCGAGTGACATGGATGACAAGAAACATGGCGATTTCAGTCTGCATTAGCAATTTACCATGTACCTGGTATAAAATTTTACTCCTGTGTGTTAAGTTCCAGGATAAAAAAATATGCTTCTTCCATGATCCTTTGCAGAGGTCAACATTGACCACAACTCAGGCAAAAAGGCAACAATCGGTTCAGGAACTTGTTACTTGACAACAAGTATGTAACAGCCGCTCATGTGTATAATTTTCGGATTTGCTCATGTATTTCTCACATGCCACTTATGTATAGCCTTTATAGCTGCATGGATTAGTTGACGCCAGTGTAAACTCCCCTTCTTGTAGTTCACCACGTTTGGTGTGTGCCTGTTTCTTTCCATATTTGGGTTCCACATTAAATCTACATATCTAGTTCATTGATTATCTTTGTTAATTGTGTGTTCTAACAACATCTTCAAACAAACCATTCAATGAAACAACTTACTTTTTATGAAAAGATCACATAATCTTTTACGGACAAAACAGAAACTGTGACCATGGAAATGCACAACCCCTCACATTTATACCCGTTTACAACTTACAGCCCACACAGCAAACCAGAAGTAGGTGCACAAGAAAAGAATACGAGACTTACGTCAAAGAATTTCCTTTGAAAGGGAATGGGGGAGACACAGCTGACCACACGCAGAAGATTATGTGAATCTGGAAATGGACAAAGATGATCAGTAGGATGTGCAGTTGAGGATACGTTAAACCTTTTATTTAATGCTAAGATGTGGCCGCATGAAACCACTAGCAAAGTGTATCTTACCATGTAAAATAGGAAAAACCACCCAAACTTCAAAGCACTCTCAGTTCTGCGACAGGCATCATAATAAACAAGATATGGTCACATGACATATTTGGAAAGGTGAATTTCTTTCATATAGACAATAAATTCTCAATGCATATACCCTACCTCATCGCATTATAAAGAGGGCGATACCATAACACATAAGCCCCAGGGACACCAGATATGAAGTAGATAATGGCAAGCAACCAAACCATGACACCTGTTAAAGCAGAGATTTGTATTAGTTTCACTAAGTTAATAGTGATAGCAACTGCTATATCAGATGTGCACAATAAGATACACTTTAACTATACCTTCTCCCTTAATCCATGCAGTTGTAGTCGCTATGATATTAAAGAAGAGGCAGAGAGCAATTCCTGCATGAGATCCAAATTTTACAAAAATTACACAAAATCCATAAAAAAAAACTATATATCAAATTGCTTTTCCACAAGATTAGCTCTTGGTCCACTAATCAAATGAAGATGCAGTTGTAGTCGCTATGATATTAAAGAAGAGGCAGAGAGCAATTCCTGCATGAGATCCAAATTTTACAAAAATTACACAAAATCCATAAAAAAAACTATATATCAAATTGCTTTTCCACAAGATTAGCTCTTGGTCCACTAATCAAATGAAGATGGTAGATCCCTTTGCAGTATCTTGAGGAATTCAAACTTATTTGCTTCTCATTTTATGTTGATAATCACATCATTCGTGCAAAATATGACAGGAAGTTGCAACATAAATACTTGTTAGTGAATTTGTATTAGGATCTAATAGATGTCCAAAATGATAGTCGGCATTGTTAGGATAATCCCTGTGTCCTGTAGCCCCTCTCTCTTTGATGACTTAATAATTAAGAAAGATTAAAAGCTGCAATAGCTAGCTGTAGACTCCAGGATAAGCTAGCTATGAGATGTAAGAGCAGGTCGGCAGGGACTGGCTTCATGAAGAAGGTGCTGGAAATGGTTTTGTCTGCCCATGCACTGTAGCGCCAGGAACACTAGCACCGGCCTAGAACTCCTATAAATAGCTTGTAGTGTATCAACAAGTCACCTAAACAGCCTGTGTCCTTGTGCAAGTTGTGAGAAATAACAGATATCCATAGAGTGAGAGTGAGAGTGAGAGAGAGTAGGGTTTCAGTGCTAGTGCTGTGTGTGTGATATCAATAAAGCCTCACTGCTAGTAGTAGTTTTGCGTGTGTGTTTGAAACATATCTCAGGAAGAGGGGGAGTTGAGTGATTCAATTCCAACAGGCATGCAGGCGTCACCAGGCTCCAGTGGCCACCTGTGCAGGTCCTGTCAGGCCGCGCAGAGAGACTGACATGAGTTACAATTATGTTGCCCGTTGCAGAGAAATTGGAGAATTTTATCTGCATTTCTACTGTTTGAGATAGGCTGGATTGGATCTGGAAGAAGAGCAGGAGGATCGGTATTACTGGAAGGTCACCACTGAATATGACCACTGGCTACTCACTGCTCATGTGATCTGGCTGTAGTCATGCAAAAAGAAGGAAGAAGTGAGAGAAAGGAGTAGTCGAGAGGCATTGTGTGTCTCTGTTTTTGTTATGTTGCTGTCGGACTCCAGTTCAGGTTGCTGGGCTGATCTTTATAAGTTACATCGCCTCTTCTGATACTATTATGGCTGATCTGATCTATGTTGTGGACTTGTGGTGCTGTTAACTATCCTGGTACCTTTAGTTGGTCATTGGCCATGCTTGTCCGGCTACTTGGCTCGGTTGATCTGCCTACTGTGGGGATTGGTGATGGTACAATCGGAGGCAGCAAAGTGGAGAGGGCAGGAGAATGATGGAGAGGTGATGGAGGCCAAGGCTTGGGACGTGTGAGTAGAGGAGGTAGAGGCCCAGCTGGTTGGAGGTTTGAGGGAGCGGTGGTGGAGGCCAGAACTTGGACTGCGTGAGTATAGGTGGGAGACATGATCCTGTTGTTGGAGTTACTTCACGTGATAATAGAAGAGAACAACCTCCAGGCTTCTGCATCACATGAAGCACACAGTTTGAGATGGCGATCCAGTATTCGTAAGTCCTTGATATGCCAGCAGAAACTCAATCATGGTGGGTATAGTGGCTGGTATTGATGGTGCGCTCAAGGCATGGAGGCAAAGCTCGGTAGAGGTAGAGGTCTTGTCAAGAGTTTTAAGAAAATAAAAGATGGCCAAGTATGTTTAGACTGCCTAAAATGCATCATATCAAATTTCTGGTTATGACCAAAATTTGTTCTTTCTTTGGATGGTGGCCAACTTTTGGGCATGCCGATGCCCCCAATGTTCTTGCCAATATTGGCCAAGCAAAAACTTGACCAAAATTTTGGCTAACCAGATTATTGGTAGGCAAACTTGGGCCCAAACCCAACACAACCTTGGTACCAGAGAACCCAGGTCTGTAATCTATTGAGAGACCATATTAGATTCTGGATGTAAACTTGTACTCCCTCCGGTCCTTTTTACTCCGTGTATTAGATTTGTTTCAAGTCAAACATTGCAAAAGTTTGACCAAATTTATATTAAAAAATATCAACATCTACAATACAAAACATATATACTATGAAACTACAGTTCATAACGAATCTAACAATATTTATTTGGAATTGTGAGTTTTGATACTTTTATCTATAAGTTTGGTCAAAGTAGAGATACTTTGACTTCGGACAAAACTTATATGCAGACTAAAAAGGACCGGAGGAAGTAATCTTTACAATAAAGGGATTGGAGGCCCTGTGGAACACCACGTAATTATTTCCCAAAATTATTCTGAAGTACTCAAGCAAAAAAAAAAGGTAATGGCAGCACAACCTTCATACCAAACACCACATTTTTCACATCACCAGAGCTTACCCAAAAATGATGAAAATGCAAGGTACTGCATTTTTTGTAGATGGATGGGTATCTCATTTGAAATATTGTGATGAATGAGAGGGAAAAAGGGTGGCCAGTTTTTGTCTTCTATGACAATGCCAGCTGAAAATGAAACAAAGAAGTGATTAGGAGAAATATAATTGTGCAAACACACTGCTAGAGAAACCATACAAAGTATAAAACTAAATTTGCTCTTGCCAGAAGAAATGACAATTGTTTATTTTTGGACATCCCAAATTTGGAGCCTTGAAATGACCAACTCCAAATTACCAATCTAAGAAAAGGATCATTGACAGCAAATATTACCAATAACCATGCAGGTTGCAGTGTGACATACTGATAACCCTGATGTCCCATCCCATGTCCTAAACTCTAAATGTCAATGTTGCCCTTTTATGAACAATTCCGAAACACTGTGAACTCCTCTCAAAATGAGTGGGCAGGCTACAGTTTCTTGGTACACACTTCCAGGTGCACAAATTGCTTTCATCGAGCATGCTTCTGTCTTCAATTTTTTATGCCAGAGACGTGAACAAAACAAAACTATTAAAGCTATTCAGCAAAAGGAAAGAATGCGGGTTGTACCTCGCGACGCAGCCTCTTCCTTCCTTTTCAGTTCCTAGGGCAGAGAGACAAACAAAGAGGGAGCAGATCAGCAGTTGGAGAAGGAAGATCTCATATGGTAAATAAAACATGTATCCACATACATGGAATACACTACAAAGAGACAATCTTTCTGTGATTTAAAATACTATGACATCTCACTGTCAAAATTTAACATATTAAATAATAAGCTCAAGAAACATGATCCTCCCAGATGAACCACTGTTTTTGACTGGGAAACAAAATTGTATAGACCATTCATCACTGGATATACGACGCCATAACCAACCAAATTTAGCAAGAAGTTGAGATATAGGTTCCCCTATCTGGATAACAAGACCAACGGACAAAAGCAGGTCGAAATGAAATGGTTCTTGCACCTGTTCTTGGGACAAATGGTAATCAGAAAGAAAGAAAAAATCAAATGATTGTTACACATGTTTTCCTATACATGCTTGCAATTTTTCATCAATTAAGATGTATGCTCTGAGATAGAGCGCCGCATTGTTTTCCTCACAGCACAAATTTATCTTACATTGATGAGAAATCAGAAAAACAAAATTTGAGTGCTAAAATTATTTTTCCCATTAAAATTCACATGCATGTTTGAACTACCAGCAAAAGCACCCTTTATTTTCCAGCAGAGCCACTATATGCTGCAAGATGATGCATGTTTCAGCCCCTATTACTCGGCCTCAAATTGCATCACTACCAAATAGATAATTCTGGTAGCCATTTGACATCCTACTCTTAAGTCAATGCACACTACCTGTTCAGTAATTCCAATACTCTGGTGGCAATAACAGTGAACTGCTTAATTAGTATTTGGTAGGTTGAGGACACACAACTTCTGTAGACTCATGCCAGCACGCCATAAAAAATTACCATATTGTCATTGCCAGACCAGCAGATAATTAATATACATAATGTATAAACTATAGCGATTTTAGGGCTAGGATAGCTACTATATGCAGCACTAATGATCTGAAAATCCCAAATCAACATAAATAAGGTTTTATTATTCACTGGTTGTAACACTAAATAAATCAATGCCCCAGTTAGCATATCTAAATCACAAATCACGGCGACATTGTAGATTCTGGATTTACATCTGATGTGACACCACTTATGAGAAAGCTGGTAGCATATCAATATTTCTGTAACTGGCTAAGAGCAGCAGAACAGTCAAATCACTCAGTATTTATAACACGCATACCTTTTCTCTTTTGTTTAGCTCGGCTTCCATCGCTTGGAGTTCTTTTTCCTTTTTCTTCACATCCTAAATAAGATAATAACATGCATGATATAAATGAATAACTGTCAAGTTTTGTATACAGTTTTACCCCCATTCGGTCAATTTTTATAAGGCGAACTTTGAGCTGGCACATGGATCTCTTACGATTGAGAAAGTGACCAAACAGAATGACTAAAGTACCCTTCCATAACTGTTTTCGAAATATGCAAGAGAATATTTTACGTGATTGGTCATGCATATATCTTAAAAAGATAATGAAACAAATAATAGCAAAATTACAACAAAATTATTTATGCTAGGATGTCTTATAATTTTCACCAAAAATTGGAAAACAGACCATCAGACTTGTAAAAATTCTCACAAGAAGTACTTGATGATACATAAGGAATAGATAAATGGCAATGACGAAGAGAAAATCTATCCAATTCCAATTAGAGTAAGAAGCTAGCCGACACAATTTTCTTGAGTGAAGAAAAACTTCTCAAAACTAGACGTACCTTAGTTGAATCCATAGGAATGTCCACATTATAAAAACCCGCAGGCTCGTGGGAGAGAGGTGAGAGTCGAGAATTGGAGGCAGGGGGGACACTCCCTCCCTGTAGAAAATGAAGCATTTGGAAGATATTAGGAACGGGCAGGAACAAAAATAGAAGCCTCTGAGCAACTTAATAATAGCATGATATTTCCTTTGCCAACAATTAGCCTTCTGCTCGACATCAATATTTCATGTACTTCTATTCTATGTAATGAATATGTATGTACTAACAACATAACATAACATACAATGAAAATCAGATGAAAGATCTAACAATACAAAAATACCCAAAAGAAATGACGGGTGATGGGTGCAAGAATTGCTGCATCCTGCATGCATGCGCAGTTACTTGATTATTAGAAGGTTTTGGATTTAGATACCCAAAAAACAAAGATATTTTGGCATGTTATTGAGAATGGCCTGCCAATGCATACTTTCGCAGGCATGTGCATAGGCACATTAAGTTTTCAAGGGCATGTACATAGACACATAGTTTTTAATGTGATCACAGTGGGGTGTGTTTAAGTAGATTACACTAAAACGTTGCCCTTGTCTACATCAGCTCAATGACATCGCCAACGAATAAACCTATCTGGCAGTACAAAAGAACTTGCGACAAGTACTCCCACATAGCGCCTAGAATGCAGAAATCTCGAACCTAAGATTTTTATCCATGATCTATCCATACATTTTTGTCTTACGAACATACCTATCTATCAATACATTGGGTATCACATTAACCATGTTCCGACATATGTAGCTTGTAGCACACTGGTAAATTTCTAGAAACCACTTGAATTACTGAGCACAAAAACAGTGGGTTTGAAATTAGTGATGTCTCAAAATGAACCCAAGGGCAGCAAGTGGCTCATCCTCTACCTGACAAACAATACCAGCATTCCACCACACGTAATGTCCAAGTCCCTAATGTTTAGCATATGGTGGTAACCAAGCTCCAGCAACTTGACACTAGTATTCAGTAACTGATTAACAAGCAAACCAACTGATATAAGATGGTATCGCCCACATCAATCAAACTATCAAACGTACCACATTGTGTAAGTTTGCTTGCGATGACACCAAAATCCCAAGTTCAAGCAATAAGGGTACATTCTAGTTTCATGCGTCTCGCTTCCAATCGCACCTAGCACCAGCTACTAACCATCCACCGCGCAGCTTAATTCGTCACACGAGCACAGATCCAGAGCCAACCAACCGCTTCAAGAGCAATCAGTCGACACAGCCTACAAAGCGCAATCGCCACGCCAACTCGAGGCGCACATATCCGCAGCCCCCTCCCATGCCCAGATCCAGCGCGCGGGGACCAAACAAGCAATGCCGATCTCGAACGCGGGCACGGCCGACGCGGACCAGGCCAGGAAAGGGAAAGGAAAAAAAAAGGCAGCCCG